TATCTATCTCATATATTCATATATATCTATATATTTATCTTTTTATTTAAAAGAAAAATCCTGTCTCCCCCTCATTTATGTTTATATCCCTCTGTCCCGTTTACGAAAATCATTTTGTCCCCCAAAAATAACAATTAATTGTTTGTTATTCTTTTTCTATTTTAAACAGTCTGAATTTTTCATACGTTTTTATTTGAATGTTCTCTCTCAACTCAAAAATCATCTATATATCTATATATCTATTTATATATATATATATATATATATATATATATATATATATATATATATATATATATATATATGAATGATTTACCTTCTTAATATTGAAAGAAATTTAATTCTGTTTCATCTCATGTTTCTACTTCATGCCATTCAATAATATTCTAGCTCGAGGTGTTCTTGAGCCTTATAATGTACAAAAACTTTAAAATATCTTAAAATAACGATCAATTAATTAACATTATATATATATATATATATATATATATACATATATATATATATATATATATATATATATATATATATATATATATATATAATAAAAAAGCAAAACATTTAAAGAACCTTATTTTACACGCACACACACACACACACACACACACACACACACACACATTTTCACACACACATACATATATTTTACTAAACCCATGGCTAATATATAAGTCTCCCAAAATGGAAGTAATGAGCGGGCTTGGGCTTTTTTTATTAGGCCATTGCCTAAATAAAATATGTTAAATTTGAAAAAAAATGAAGAAGAAAACATTATATAAATATATACAAGCAATAAAATATTTCTTATTTAACAGTTAAAATATTGTTTCCTTGAAAATGGCTAAATGTATAGCCAAAGCGCTTAGATAAAAGAACATGCGGACAGTTTTTATATAATCTATCATCTGAAAAAATTATTAGATTGCAGGAGAAATTATATAAAAAAATATAAATCAAAGCAGATTTTCTGTCGCATTCAATATATATATATATATATATATATATATATATATATATATATATATATACAGTAGCATCCAAAAAACTAAGGGACAAAATTTTAAAACCTAATATTTGTTAGAAATAACAACTGTGAAAAGCTGAAATTTTGACAACTGGTAGTCGTTATCATCCATAATAACATACTAAAATTTGAATCATTTGCAAAGGATAGAAAAAATTAATTATAACAATTATTTATTTATTTTCAAAATAGGATCGTCCAAAAGTAAGGGACAAAATTGAGAAAAACAATGTAAACAGCAAAAAAAAACAATAAAAATTTTGTACAATCAATATTTAGTAAATGAGCCCTTTCTCTCAATGACAGCTGCACATCTTCGACTACAAGAACGAATCAGTTCTTGACAATCCTCGATACTAATTTTAGACCATTCTTCTTGAAGCTTCACCCAAAATCCTCCGTATTAGTGGGATTTCTTTCCATAAAATTCAAACTAAGGTCTTCCAAAGATTTTCTATTGGATTTAAGTCAGGACTTTGATGGCCAATCCATAATTTCCAAATCTTGCTCGCTAAAAACTCATTACCACCTTTGCCTTGTGACATGGGGCATTATCTTGCATAAAGGTAGCCCTATCGAAACCTGAATTCTGTATGATTAAAAACATGATCTTGAACAATGTTTTTATAGATCTGCGCGTTTACACGAGTTTGTAACTGGACAAGAGGAGTTGTACCTTTTTAATAGAAAACATTCCAAATACCATGACGTTTCCGCCCCCAAACTTGACAGTTTTCTTAGTACAAACAGGTATGCAATTAATCTTTCACCAATACGTCTCTTTACATTGTTTTTTTAATTCATTTCCAAATAAATTAAACTTGCTTTCATCACTGAAAAATACTTTTTGCCCAATTTTCATATGTCCAAATTACATACCTGTTTGCAAACTCTAATCTCTTCTTCTTATTCTTCGAACTAACAAGTGGTTTCTTCCCTGGGGTTCGATTAAACAGCCCTATATTTCTTGCAGTCGTCTACAAACAGTCTGTCTTGACACATTAACACATGAGGTACTATACATAACCCTTTTAATTTCTGTGCCCATGTCTTAAAACAAAGGTTTAATGACATACGCTGCATTATTCGATCTTCTCTTGCCGAAGTTTTGCAAAGTCTGCTTAAATTTAAAAGCACTAACTATTTTGCCAGTATCATTGTAGGATTTAACAACCCTGCCTACAACACTCTTGGAACGTTTCACTTTCTCTGAAATCTCTCTAATGGTGTGCTTTTCCTTGTGTAGCTTCAAAACTGCTTGTCTCACAGAGTAATCAAGTTTTGGCGTTTCGCCATGGTGCCGGCTGATGCAACGTTTAAAAATGACTAAGTAAGACTTATTCTTTAGAGGAAATCAAAAAATTTGACTATAGCATACTGTTTACATTGTTTTTCTCAATTTTGTCCTTTACTTTTGGACGATCCTATTTTGAAAATAAATAAATAATTGTTATAATTCTTTTTTTATCCTTTGCAAATGATTCAAATTTTAGTATGTTATTATGGATGATAACGACTACCAGTTGTCAAAATTTTAGTTTTTCACACTTGTTATTTCTAACAAATATTAGGTGTTAAAATTTTGTCCCTTAGTTTTGGACGCTACTGTATATATATATGTATATATATATATATATATATATATATATATATATATATATATATATATATATATATATATTTATCTGTATATGTATATATATATATATGTATAAATATATATATATGCATATATATATATATATATATATATATATATGTATATATATATATATATATATATATATATATATATATATATATATATATATATATATATAAATTTAGATTTTTTTAACCAGATTTATCGCATTTGATGTCTATTTATTTATTTAAATGTTTTTTTTCCATTCAAATATAATTTATTTGAAATAAAGGAAAAAAACCCCTCAAAAATCATGAACCTTTCCTTTTTTTTCTCACATTTTCTAACGTTTACTGCTCTCTCTCTTTCCTTTTCCTCCGCCACCCTCCCTCTCTTGTTAGCTCATGTAACGCCCTCCAGTCCAGGGGTGTGACTATTCTCGTCCAATGAAATGCCTTACAGATCTATGACATCACAGCGCCTTCCCGCTTGATTCACTTGGCGAGAAGCGACTCTAGAAAGAAGACGTCATATTTTTGTTCTTTTATCTCTTGAGGAAAACCAATCTCACTCAAGTGAAATCGAAATCAATTGTAAGTCAGAATTTTCCTATCGATTTCCAAATAATAATATTTTCTCTTGCCCTTTATTTTTTTTTAACCAAATTCATATTTAGAGAAAAACCTAAATGCATAGAATTAAAAAAAATTGTCTACTCCGGATTCCATGGTAAAAGAAATGCGTTTTTAGTTAAGATTTCAGATGAAGTATTTCCAATAAATGATTGAAAATATCAGTTATCATTTATCGTCTGCTTTTTTCTTTCCTTTATTCTAAAACCATTCCGTAGCGATTTTAAATTCTAGATTACGAAATTAAGTAAGGAGGGGAAAAAAATTTTAAAATAATTAAAATTAAAAAAATAATTTGTTCTTTTCTATTAATAATAACAAAAATTTTGACTATAAAACTTTGTTTTTATTAAGTTTGAGGTTTTTTGTATCACGCTGTTTCCCAGAGAATTATTGGAGGTACCTACATCTACCTCAGTCCTATACATATCTATCTATCTATCTATCTATCTATCTATCTATCTATCTATCTATCTATCTATCTAAATCTATATCTATCTATCTAAAATTATCTATCTTTATATCTATCTATATATATAGATATATATATATCAGTATTTTCATATTTCTATCTATCTATCTATTCTGATCTATCTATCTATCTATCTATCTATCTATCTATCTATCTATCTATCTCATCTTTTTTTGTTCTATCTATCTATCTATCTATCTATCTATCTATCTATCTATCTATCTATCTCAGTCCTTTCATATCTATCTATCTATTTATTCATCTGTCTAATTAAAAGATAAGGTAAATATCTCACATTTTCTCTTTTTTATACAATCTTTCCTTCTCTCTCTTTGTTCCTCATTCCTTTCTTCACTTTTCCCTCCTTGTTATCTCATAAAACCTATCTATCTCTCCCAACCCTTTTCATATCTATCTATCTATCTATCTCTATCTATCTATCTATCTATCTATCTATCTATCTATCTATCTAATTTATTGATTGGAAATAAAAAAGATTTATCTTTTGCTTGGAATTAAATCTAAAATAAACTTCAAGAAAGGTTTTCATTTTTTCAAAATTCCTTTTAAAACTGAGGTAAAATTTTGAAGTAAACTTCCAGTAAACGTGTCAAAAAAAAACGGATCGATTTTGCACTTTGTCGAAGCGGGAAAAATTAATCATTTTCGTTTTACTTTTTTTTTGTTCTATTCGCCTTGTGCCATACTAGGCTAAGATTAGCGAAAAAGATAAAAACAAAATTAGCAAGTGTTAATAAAAAATGTTTTCATCTTGTACGTGTCTTTTTCAAAGAAAATTACAAAACAATCAGAAAAAATATTAACATTTTAAAATTGAAGAGAAAATGTTAAATGTAACTGGGAAGGCGGCAAATTGGATCAACCTCCTCTCTCTCTCCCTCTCTGTTTCTTTTTACCCTTTTCCTTCCTTTCTCGCATTGCTCTTCTTTCCCTCTCTTTCTTTATTGATAACCATAAAAAATTCCCCACTCTCTCAATATTTCATTCCTTTTAAACTCTCCCCCCTGCTTCATTTATTTGAGATTTTACAAGGAAAAAATTTTTTTTTTTCGGAAATCGATTTATTTTTCTTGTAAAATCTCGAAATTTCGGATCATTTTACGTCCGGTTTTACAAATAGACTTTTTTTTTTTTTCGTCTTTTTCTGATTTTGAACTTTGACATTTTTTTCTTTTCTTCTTTTTTTTCTTTTCAGATTGATTTTTATCTTCGGAAGACATTTTCCAAATGGCGTCCAATGTGAATGAAGAAGAGACATTCCAATGCTCGAAATGCGACCAATGTTTGGACTGGACATCGAAGACATTGCCCTGTCTTCATTCTTTCTGCGAGTCGTGTGTGCAGATGGTTCTTGAAGGAAATGGCCCGTGTCCCCAGTGCCAAAAGCCTGTGACCGGTGACGATTTGAGACTGGCACCATTTTTGGTGAAGTCTTTGAGACGCCGTCACTTGGAATCCAGTGAATGGAGGTGCGGTTTTTTGTTCCGAAGACGGCGTAGAATCAGCGGGTCAGATTTGGTTTTTTATATATTGCAGAAACTCTTGTGCCGGAACTGTAACAGGGCCCAAAAGAAAATGAAATGGACGCACAACTGGGAAGACTTGTCCGGCAAGGAGAGGGTGGAGGCCATCCGGGTCATCATGATGGATGACTGTCGACGGCACCAACAATCCAAGGACGCCTTCATTTATGGTGCAACGTCTGCCTGTGTGATTCATGTTAAAGGATCACGTGACCACCTCCCCTCAGTGTCCGCCTCGTCCGCTGTCGGTGAAATGCAGGAGGCGTCGAAGGGAACTGTCTTTTTGGGCGGCCCTACCCTGGAGCGGGAACTCCTCCAGTTCGAAATCCAGATCCGGTCGACGTACGCGCAGACGTCTCGATCCATTGAGCAACTATCAATGGATTCCGAATCCGAATGCTTAAAACTCTGTCAGGATTTTTTTTTCAGAAAGAGGCACTCCTCAAGTTGGCAGAGCTGTGCGATAATATGAAAGTGATGGCGTCCGAACTAGAGAAAATGGCGCCGCTCCCTCAAAGAGAGAGAAAGCCTTTTGAAGAAGGTGACGATCTGGCGCCACACCTTGCGACATTTGTTGACGGACGATGCCGACGATGCGGACGTCGTCTGTGGATTTAGGTTGGTAAGAGCTGAGCTTTCTGCGCGGCTCCACCAATCGTTTGCTCCATTATAAAAGGACGTTGGCTTGTGACATTTCCGAAATGGTGTCACGACTCCCTAGACTCACTGAAAATGAATGATCGAGTGGGCGGCAGAGACATCCGGGCATTTACAGATGCAAAGTGAATGCCGTCTGCAAGAATCGAACCCGGCTGGATCTTTCATCCATCGTCGCCGGCGACGAAGACAGTCGTATCTTTGTTGGTGATTGGAGCAGCAGGTCGATCCAAGAATTCAGTGACCGTGGGGAATTTTCGGCTAATGTCCCTTAACGGACGGGGAAAAGAATTCTACCCCCCAGGACATGTGTCGCGTTTCAAAAGACATTTTGGCTGTCTGTGGTTGGCAGTCTGAGGGGTCAAGAAGAATTTTCTTTTGGCTCAAATATATGTCCACCATTTTTAGAAATTAAAAAAACAATTGACGCAAAAAAAAAGGAATTTTGTTCTTTGTGTCAGTTTGACAAAAAAATCTTTGCTTGTGAACAGAATTTTCAAAAAATTGTTTGTTTTAATGAAAATGGTGATGAAATAAAAACAATCCACCTGGGTGGGGCGCCGAGGGAGAGTAATTGTACACCCCGCCTTCGTGTCGATCCGACGACTGGGAATTTGTTGGGGTTAAGACCAACAGAGTCCAAAATATTTGTATGGAATCCAAACGGAGAAATTCTTCAAAAGATGGAAATGGATGTAGAAACTGTCGATTTGCATTCAAACAAATTTGGCCATTTTTTTTTTTTCGACGAGACAAGGAATTTTATCTGTTTTGCCAAAAAATTCTTTTTTAAATTTCCGAAAATGCTGAACATTTTCGAGGATTTTTGTTTTTTTTCTTTTTTTTGTTTGTTTTTTTAACAACGATGGAAAATATTTCTTGAAAATTTTCAAAATTATTTAAAAAAAAATATTTTTTTTTTTTTGTTTGCAAATAAAATTTACTTTTTTTAATTCGGTTTTTTAAAATTTTTTTTCTTCAATTCAATTTTTTTTTTTTTTTTTTTTTGCCACCTTTGTCTTCGACCATCACTGGTTAACATAGAATGTGCAAGTGAAATTGATTTCATTTTGAAATGGCAATAAAAACAGCAAATAAATCAACAATTATTGACCGACTTTTTTTTTAATTTATGCAAATAAACAATATTTTTTAATTGAATTTCAATTTTCCGTCGGTCGTATAACAATATGAGTTCAGTCAAATAATTGTAGATTTGTTTGTCTTTGTTCTTTCTTTCTTTTTCTTTCTTTCTCTTTCTTTTTCTCCCTTTTTTCTTTTTCTACCTTTCTCTGTTTCTCTGTTTCTTTTTTTCTTCCTTTTCTTTTTTAATTTCCTACTTTCTTTTTCTTTTGGTCTTCATTATCGTTTTTCTCTCTTAACTTTTTCTTTTCTTTGTTTCTCTATCACGCATCAAAACAAGAAATGTGTTTTCCTTTTTTCTTCATGGTTGTCGGGGAGGCCCGTGAATTTTCTGAAAAGTGTCTTTGGTTCTTATTCTGCCCCGAAAAAGATTTCGTCTTTATTTTGTTTAAAGACATTCGAAGATTGACATTTGGCAACGAACGGGAGAGAATAAAACCAAAAAGTGTTGGGAGAGAATTTTAAAAGACGAGAAGGGATCGATAATTTCTAAGACAAAGATTCCAGGAGGTTTTTTAGATCCTGACCGGTGGGGGGTTGGTCTGTGAAAGAGGGATTCCAACAAGAATTCAATATTTCATTCATTCTTTTGCGATTTTAGAGGGAAACTCAAAGCTTGATGTCAAATGGAAAATGGAATCGGTAAATCGAGTTCAAATCGCGGTCACGTCTGTTAGGTTCATTAGAAAAGGCATGAAACTATTTGGTCCCTACAGAAGTAAAACAGCTGGGTAAACTAAATTCTCAAGCTCCGAAAAGGTAATGATCATTTCAAAGAGATATTGCATAATTAGGAAACTGTGGAGAACCACAGCCGCCTATTCTTAAGTCCGGAATAGAAGGGGAGGTTGGAATTAAAGGGGGCGTTCCGTCTATTCCGGAAGTGGGGCAGAACAACAGTGACAAAAAAAAAGAGCTCGTAACATCATCATCATCATCATTATCAATAAGGAAGAAAAAATATCGCTGATAAAATTCTTTCTTTTTCCCCCAGACCGACAAAATTTCAGCTCACTTCCCCTCCCTCTGTAGTGTCTTTTTTTTATTATCTACGCTCTCTCTCTCTCTCATTCGTTCTCTCTCTCTCTCTCTCTCGATACCCGAAAGAAAGTTTATGGTAAAACCTGAGGAGTCCAAGGGAAATAACTCTGCTTAGTTCTTTCGGTTATTCTCCTTCAATTGAGCCTTTATAGCTGGCAGCAAAATCCTATGGAACTTTAACTTCTTTTACACATACACACATATATATATATATATGATATATTGAATGACCCATGTCCTTTGTACTTACATGAGAAACGTTTTATTATATTTATAAGCACTCTTGGTTTAATTCACTGTAATTTATTATTATTTTTTATTCGTCCACATGTTTTAAACGTTTTATTATGATATTTATAAGTACTCTCGGTTTAATTCACTGTAATTTATTTATTAATTTTAATTGCCGAATTTTTCTTATTATCTCTGTAAATAATAATTACTAGCTGGTGAAATGAAACTTGATGGTAAGTGGATAAAAAAATTTAAATAATTACCTTCTAAGTATCTGATAAAAGGGTGTCCACTCAAAAAATGATAAAAAAGAAAAAATTACCCGTAAACAGCTTAAATAGAGTTCGCACCGTTGTGATTGGCTGTTGGTCAACCTCCAATCAAATGTGTGATAACGGGGTACATTTATAGAAGTCAGTGTCTACAAGCATTTTTTTTAGAGAGCGTATCAGAGTCTGATCAGCTCTGATGTGGTCGACTTGGTGAGGTCAGTATGATGTTTGAAAGACCCGAAACTGCCCAATGATCCAATTTCAGAACATCACTGACGACGCCCTCTTGCGCAAAAAGAGCGTATATTCAAAGCAGAAACTATGTATTACTGGATTTATATAAAATATATAAAAAATAAAAGTTTACTAAATCAGAGAAATTAATTAGCTATTTTTGCTGTCATTCTCAAAATTTTATACATTAATATTTAAATATAATTTTTTTAAAATTGTGACCTAGTAATATACATACTTATACTTAATATGAAAATAATTTTGCATACCGTAAGGGATTCTAATACATTTACTTGTTTTAAAAAGAAATGGTACATTAAAAATTAAAATTGAATTTTTTTAAAATCGTAGTTAACTAAAACGTATTCTAACCTAAACACCGCCAAAAATCTTTAAGTATAGAAATAGAAAAAATGCTGTAAGAATTTTTGCCGTTAACAATAAATTTAAAAAAATCCAGACGACGTGCATTCAATGGATTCATTGAAAAATACATCCCTAACCCTACCAAAACGTAACTAATAACTGATACATCAAAATACAGCGATAATGAACAAGCAACCACTCCTTGTGTGGATGAATGGATTTCTCTGTATCCTGGGAAACGTGAATTAAGATTTTTGCTGTGCTTTTAAAAACTCAGTAATAAGTTACTCCAAAATTCGCTTGAGGATAAAATGGAACTAATGTTTTTAATTTAATTACAAAATTAAATTTAAAGTTTTTAGCTCCCATTTTTGAAACATGGTTATTACTGTGTAGCGAAAAAAAAACATATTTTAAATTAGTTTATATATATATATATATATATATATATATATATATATATATATAGATAGATAGATAGATACAAATAAAGAGAAAGAACAGTAAGATATATAATTCGGTGTTCTTATAGATACTTTTATTTTTACAAACTAGTGCTCAATGGGGAATTTACACAGCATTAATATTATAATTTTTTTAAAATTACGAATTTTGAGTAACACCGGATTACATATCTTACACGTCTTTCTTTTATATATTTATATATATATATATATATATATATATATATATATATATATATATATATATATATATATATATATATATATATATATATATATATATATATATATATATATATATATATATATATATATATATATATATATATATATATATATATATATATATAAAAATTAATCAAAATATTAATGAATTAAATAGGCGACATCCATCGCTAAAAAACATAATATATGCATTAAAATCCTGATCATCTATAAATGCGAGTTTTGATCCTTGACGAAAAACTTGTTGTCTGTAGGATTTTAATGCATATATTATGTTTTCTAGCGATGGATGTCGCCAATAATCGCATTAATACTTCTGATTAATTCTATGTGTGATTATTCTTTGTATGTAAATCATATGCTGCCTAATGTTTTATGTTTATTATAAACTATCGATCCGCAGTACATAAAAAAATTCCTATAAAAAAAACTACTACTAAGACATTGCACTATATTATTGAACTATATACTTAGTTCATGACATAAAAACTGAATACACTTGTAAAAATAGAATACGTGGATTTAACACATCACAAGAAATATTTAAATTCTCACTTAAAAATTTTGAAAAACTTATATATTGCGTCTTTGCACGTTCCGACATCTTACACAACCGCCAATAATAGCAGATATTCAAAAACATCTTTCGGTCGACATACAAGTATATCGTCTCAAGTTTTTGATTTTATAAGGAAAAAAAAAAACACATGCCTGATGATGGATAGAAGTCTATCCGTAAGTACTAGCATTTTAACATCAAATAAACTGAAAAACTACAGACAACAAGTTTTTCGTCAAGGATCAAAACTCGCACTATGGATGAACAGGATTTTAATGCATATATTATATTTTTTCTAGCGATGGATGTCGCCAATAATCGCATTAATACTTCTGATTAATTCTATGTGTGATTATTCTTTAATATGTAAATCATATGCTGCCTAATGTTTTATGTTTTATTATATATATATATATATATATATATATATATATATATATTTCTTTTATATATATATATATATTTTATTATATATATATATATATATATATATATATATATATATATATATATATATTTTTCTTTATACTTGAAGTTGAATATTATTAGGCATAATTAAAATTGATGGTAAAAAGGAAAAAAAAAATGAAAGAGAAAAACGAATCGGTCTCACCCCCGTTCTTCAAAGTTTTTAATCAGAAGAAAAAGAGTAAAATACAATAAATCTAAATTAATGAATTATTGATTAGAGGATAGAGAAGCTGGGTGGGTGGGGAATAAGGTTTGTACAAACGTTGGGATTTTTCTTTTCTTCAAAGAATCCGAAGATAAACTTCGTCCAAACTTTGGCTCATAGGCCGTTGATGATTTCTTCTGAAGTTTTTCCTTGATAGTGAAATCGATTTTTGAAACGAGGAATTTATGTAGCGATTGGTAACCGCTTGATATTGTTCATTTGTGACAAGATCGATAATTAAAAAGAAAAATGAATCCCTCTACGGTGGAAGGGTGCCTTGCATATTTGCGATCCTTGGATTTGAGCTGGATGTGAAAACCTCTCCACGCAAATTTCGTCTAGTGTCCTTAATTATTATTATTATTCGTCTGAGATTCGTGTCGTGTTCAATACCAGGCCGTTCCTCTCATCTCTATCCGTAACTAGGTATTATATCTGTTATATCTGTTAGTATTCGTAAATTATTGGTAGTATACTTAGCCATGATTTGCCTTTACTTTTTCTTGCTGTATTGATAATAGTTTTTAATTTAAAATTAATATAAAAATATAAAAGTTTAAAATTGATTTTATATTCTAATTTATAATGTAATGTTGGTTTTGTTAAGTATTGTATTGCTTCTTAAAATGTCCTTTATTTACATTCTATGGATAATTTTGTTTGAATATGTGATTTCATTTAAAATACCATAAAATATGAAACGGGCCATAGTAACTCAAGTATTACTTACTATCTGTTGGTGTTTCATTTCCGTTCAAATTTGAATACCAAACCAAACAGATAACTGAAATCTTTTATAAGATCAGCGTTGAATTGTATATGGTCTATGTTAATTATGTTTTATGAATATGTCCTGAAGATGGTCTATTAGACCGAAACGTCCGACGTTGACATTAAACATTAAAACAGCATAATCGCATGTTAGGATTTTTGTTTGTTTTTTCAGTATATTTTTCTTCATATATATATATATATATATATATAGGGTTGTGATGGACTTCACCACATTAATTTAACTTAAGATTAGGAAACAAGACTGACGTGGAAAAGGATAAGCAAAAAACATCGTTACACATAAAATATGTATTTAACAAAATGTACAATCAAACAACGATGTGAAAGAGAGTATGCATTTAAGTAAGAAAAGGTTGAATAAAACAAGAGTTGTCTCTCTTTTTCTGCAATTTTAGTATTTCAACGTTCACTGGAAGAATGTTTATGAGAATTACTTATAATGACTGTTCTCAGATTTTGCTGTATAAGAAAAGATTTATGTGAATGTATAAGGAATGTTCAGCATGTGAGTTGTGTGCGTGAGTGAGAAGGTTGCCGAATGGTTTCAACTGTCATGGATTCGTTTGGCAGCTGAATTCTCACTAATTTGTTAAGAAAAATTCTTGCTTATGTAAGTGACTATAGGCTCCAGATCATTGCGTGGGGAAATTTACTCTTCACGTGCAGACAATCTGATTGGTTAGCACTGACCAATCAGCGAGCGAGATTTGAGGAGACTTAAGGAAAACTTCTGTGATCCGTTTCTCCCAAAAGTACACAAAACTGATTACATGAAACTAGAGAGCGATTACAAAATTGTCGCATTGCTGCGATTTGTAAATTGTCTATAATAACGTAGTAGTGATTAATTACCCAATGAATGCTTTTCGGTATATGTGATTTGTATGTATGTATGTATGTATGTATGTATGTGCGATATAGATTAGCACAAGGTTTTTGTCGAAAGAGTGTTCCGTCCATGTATTAATCAGGAAGAAAGAGCCTGAATAAAATAGCAGCGAAAATCCATGTATGACAAGATAAGGAGCCAATGTTGGAAATGAAAATGATTCAGTCGTTTATCTAATATTCATTCGGGAAATAAAATGGGCGACGAGCATTTTGTAATCACCATAACTCGAGCACCACATTCAAGAGTATTTGACGTTCGCTTTAAACTCGGATAATGAGACTCGAGACATATTTAGAAATGAATGAAATTATTTTAGAGATATTTTCTTTCTTTTTTTAAGCCTTTACTTTTTTTCACTACCCGAAGGAAAACAACCAAATAAAAATCTTAACGCTAAGCTATTAAAGGGAGAGAACTCTGATTCTCTAGGTTATTCCCCTTTAATCCACCTTTTTTTTTGTATAGGTTAACAATATTTTTATTTTAGAGTAGAACATGTCTTCAGAATATGAATCACTGAAAATTGGAAGCTGGAGGTCATAGACGTGAATAAGATTTTCTGTATTTTAGAATTTTTGTTTGAGAGTAGAACTTGTCTTTAGAATCGGGATCACTGAACACTGAAAATGGGGGTTGCGTAGCGAGGGAATGCTGAATTTATTTGCAGTATTAATAGCAAGTGAATAACGTGCGTACAAATTCTCAAAGTGATATCGCATCATAAGCAAAGGAACAATGGGTCATCCAGAAATGATATGTTTAATCCAGTGAAAAATTGTTGAATTAAGTTTTACTTCCATGTCCATACGGTGTTATGCGGTTGAAGTTTAATAGAGTAAAAATACCGTAGAAAATTGTTTCTCTATAGCTTGTGTGAAGATTCAGTCTTGTTGTCACTTGTTTCCGACATATTGTATATGTCTATCGGGTGAAATTGGGTTGGGGGGTGGCTCAATCCGTAAAGATGTATAAACTTCGCCGCGAGAAAGAAAGGGTAAGGCTCATGTTGTAGTAGTAATAGTAGTAGTAGTAGTCATGGCGATTCAAGCTTCTGTGATTTCCAAGTGTTGTAGAAAAATTCTTTTTGCCGCGCAGGAGAAAATTGTTTGGTAGACATATTGTAGTGAATTAAAATTGTGATTTGCACTTTCATCAGGTCTAATCACAAATTTTGTTGCTATATAAAAGTGTCTGGCGTGCGTCTCGTTTTTTAAGTGGCTCTCTCAGTTGTAATTCTGTGTGTATCCCTTGCGTATGAGAATTTCAATGTTCTTCCTAATCATTTTGGGGATCATCAATAAAATGTGGCCCTTCAGATCACGTCAGCCTTTCCCAATCACGTCGGGAGGTAGTTTTGTAGAGGACCATGGCGGTAATGAGTATGTGAAACACGCGTGAGTTAAAATTTCCTGCTAGCCGGTCCAACTACATGAGAAAGTTGGACTTTAGTTAAGTCCAAGAAAACAAACAAGACCGATAAATATATGTAAACAAATATATGTATTAACAACAAGTAAACAAGTTACAAGCACATGGACAGTTACATTGAGTGTGTGTGGTGAATATTATGTGTGTGTGTTGTGGTGAGTGTTCATACCTACATGTATTGTTTTTAGCGTGTTTCCAGAATTTACATGGAAAACCACTGATTGGGACAATGGCTGTATTGCGAATTTAAATGTTAATTTTATCTGATACTCACAGACCTCCTGAAACTTAGCCATGGACCCCAGATAAAGAAGCCGAGCTTTGCTGGTTGCTCATTTCGTTTACGTCATTTCTTGCATTTTGCAATATTGTAAACTTTCCACTTTTCATCATGTCACAAATTTTTTAGGTAATTTATTTTTTAAATATAGATTATTGCTACATTTAACATTGCGACAGATAGATACAAACTGATAGAAATAGATAGGTACGTACAGATTAAAAGATAGATAAAAGGGTGTCAATCGCAGTTTGTTGCTGAACCTTGCAAAACTGAAGATCAGGTAAAAATATGACAGTGATGAGAACTTTCATTAAGAAGCAATATAAAAATGGAAAATGTAAGTATTTAAATTTACTTAAAACTGAATCTAACAAACTTACCCTTGTTATCACGTGGATGTCTGCTCTTCATATCGTGAGTAACTCAGTTCTAAGCTGAAGGGGGGGAAAACAACAGATTTAATAGAGCAGAAAGAAAAATAAAATCAGAGTTAAGAATATTTAAGAATTCATGGGCATTTTTCATAATGAATGTTGTCTTGAATGGCCACTCTTCTAGATCTATCCTTGAATTTTTGTTGTTTCTCATTTTCATAAATGACCTTCCTGATGTCATCAATTCTCAACTTGGTATCTATGCTGATAACCCAATTATCTACCCCCGTCTTTATACTAAAACTGGTCGGTTCAACATGGTCAAATTGACAGCTGATCTCAAAAACTGACCAAAAAACTATTGTTAACTGAGGCAAGGAATAGTTTGTTAATTTTAACGCCTCCAAAATGAAACTGCTCTCTCTTTTTTGAGAGAACCCTTTTTGCCTTCCATCAGCATGGCTGATGCTAACCTCTACGAGAACGACCCATTGCATATTCTTGGGCTATCGTCAGAATACCAAGATGTAGACAAAGGAACACGAATCCTACCACACAAACACCACATCGATTCTTGATAATGACCGCGAAAGTCAAAAGTACTTGAACAAAAATAACAAAATATGAACTTTGCAAAGTTTATTAACAACTTCGAGCACAATGCTCAACACTTTATCCAAAAATTAGAAAAATATCATGAAAAATTAAACAGAGCTTGGTACTTTTTAAGAAAACTTATATATATATATATATCCACCCTCGCATCCAGGGTACGTTTAACCAGCAAGGAAACATCTCTGGCCGGCTGGTCCACGTATGTTGAATAGACAACATAGTCGCTAGACAGCACACACGCGTCAACCTCGCAAGCAAAGTGCGTCTCCTGGATCGCAGCTACATCTACGCCGAAGGACAAGAGGTCACGAAGCAAGCGGGCGGATTTGTTCCGATCCCTCAAGCTCCTCGCATTAAAACTAGCTATCTCGAGAGACATTTTTCAAGTTGATTCCCCTCGTCAAAAGACATCCTTCGCCTCGTGTAGGTGATCCCGTGCTATTAGATTTCGGCCTGTGCTCTTTATCCATGTTATCCAACGGCTTTGGGGAAATTGCGGGCATCTTCTGTAGCAAGTCCGTCTACTGACGCCATTTTTAAAAATGGCTTCAACAAAGCTCTTTTTTTACTTCGACATGCCCGCTTCTGTTGATTGCTTGTCCACACAGCAAGACATTACCACACTTGGTAATTTCTTCTTACGAGAAGAAGAACTCTGCTGGGAGGTTCTGGGCGTTGGGGATTTACTGGGCATTGTGCTGGTGTAAAATGGGGTGTTGGGAGGAGTAGAAATGTCATCGGCTGCAGTGGTATTGGGAAGGGGTATTTGATGAGGAGGTTTATTGCGAATGGGGGACAGTGGTGCTTTCAGAGGGGAAGAAGGAAGGCTTCTTGTGGTATTTTCTTCAGGCTACTTGACTGGCGAAGCTGGGGCTGATCGAGCCTTGCTTTTGGAAGAGTCTTTGGGGGCTTCAGTTCGCTTGTCTTTTTTCTTTATTTTTCCCTTTTCTTCTTCTGCTTCCTCTCTACCTCTTTACAGTGAAGACGACCAACTGCATTTCTACTTCCCTTACTTGTTGGTTCTCTGACTCTCATTTTGCTGCTGAAAGGAAGTGGTGGTACTTTTGGGTCCCTTCTTGACAACTTCCGCCCACTCTCCAGTTTTCTTGGTTGTCTGTGCTGTTGCCTGTGATGTTGCTGCTTCATTTTTCTTTTTGGGTTGTGGGACAGGATTTTGTCCCGGATAAGGCTTCGACAAATGCCCCGCAAGCCCAACAAAGTGGTCGATGACCCTCTACAACGACATAGATAAGTATACCCTCACATATTAACGTATTGGGTATTTCCGTAAATTGCTTTCGATTTAATGTAAGTAAATTAAATGTAAATTAATTTCAATAACGCCTGTGGTAATTCCGGCCTTACTTTTAATAGGGCAGAAGTCGGACATGTCCCCATATTTAGAAAAGAAAAAACCTACATGGTCTTCAGATATAAAGAGAGTCACCTTTGCCTTTCTCGTCCGTCTGTATTCTGTCTGAAGCCTGGCTGTCGATTTAGTTAGAATACAGTCTGCCAGCGATTTGGCTTTCTCTTCTGTCGGCAACAAGATGTCCCACATTGATCTCCCTCTTCTAGCTAGAATTTGGGCTGCAATTTGAAACCTTTTCAGGGCCTCCTCCATCACTTCCATATTCACGATATTTAGCTTCCGAATCTTGGGGTCCGTTGTTATTAACAAGATTGTATTCACCGTGTCCAGTACAGATGGCACCGGGAATAACTCATTTTCCTTAACATGTGGATCAAACTTCTTTTAATTTTTGAAATATTCTGGCCCTTTTTGTGGGGGCCTATCCTTTACCCATACCGAAGGGGTTACTTCTGTAAGGGAAGCAGGAAGAGATTCGAGTTCCGACATAATGTCGGCCTACTCTCGTCACCTCAACACAATTCGAAACAATACACGCAATTTAGAAGAATAAGACGACAAAGAAAGACAACAATGGATACACAAGATGACGATGGGGGGGCAAACAAAAATATAACTTACTCCGAAGAATATACAAAGAAAATATCTTGTACAGCTCGCAGTAAACTCTGTAAGAGAAAAAGTTCAAGAAAGAGAGAGAGAGAGAGAGAGAGAGAGAGAGAGAGAGAGAGAGAGGAGAGAGAGGGGGGTAGAAATTATCCCCTTTTCTTTTAAATAGAAAGATAGAGTGGTTGATAGATAGAAAGATAGGTAGACTGATAGTTAGAATTAATGAGATAATAATGGAGGGAACTTTTGGAAGGGGACTAAGAAAGAGAAGGAAAGGTTGTATGAAAGAAAGAGAGAGGGTAGAAATTCTCCCATTTTTTTTAAATATCAAGATAGCGTGATTGATAGAGAGAAAAATAGATAGACAGATAGATAGAATTAATAGGATAATAATGGAGGGAACATATGGAAGGTGACTAAGAGAGAAGGAAAGGTTGTATGAGAGAGAGAGAGAGAGAGAGAGAGAGAGAGAGAGAGAGAGAGAGAGTACAAAATTCTCCCATTTACTTTTAAATATCAAAATAGTGTGATTGATAGACAGACTGATAGATAGACCGATAGAATTAATGAGATAATAATGGAGAGAACTTATGGAAGGGGACTAAGAGAGAGAAAGAAAGGTTGTATGAAAGAGAGTAGAAATTCTCCCCTTTTCTTTTAAATAGCAAGAGAGAGTTACTTGTTGATAGAAAGATAGACAGACTGATAGGTAGGTTTCATGAGATTATAAGGAAGGGAATGAATTGGAGGGGAGTAATGGGGGAGAGAGAAGGAAAGGTCGTATGAAAGAGAGATAGATAATTAGATAGATAGATAGATAGAGAGATAGAGAGAGAGAGAGAGAGAGAGAGAGAGAGAGAGAGGGGGAATGGCCTTACCTTTTCGGAACACACACATCTAATTAAATACTAAAGAGTTTCATTTATTCTGCTGTTTTACTGATGCAGGGACGAGATAGGTTCATGCCTTTCCCAATGAACGTAACACAGACGTGACCGGGATTTGAGCCCGGTTTATCGATTCCATTTTCCATTTGACATCAATCAAAAAAAAAAAAAATAACCTCCTTGGAATTTCCGTCTTGAATCTTCGCTTTAGAATTTACCGATTCTTTCTCGTCTTTTCGTAATTCTTCCCCCTTCCCACATATTTTGTTTTTATTCTCTCCAGTTGGTTGCCAAATGTCAGTCTTCGAATGTCTTTAAACAAAATAAAGACAACATTTCTTTCAGGGCAGAAGAAGAACGAAAGGCACATTTCCGAAAATCAGGGTCCTCCCCGACATCCACGAAAAAAAAAGAAAAAACACATTTCTTGTTTTGATGCATGAAAGAGGAACAAAGAAAATGTTAAGAGAGAAAAAAAAGAGAAAGTTGAAAATTAAAAAGAAAAGGAAGAAAAAGAAAGAAAAAAGGAACAAAGAATATGAGAAAAAAAGGGAGAAAAAGAAAAACAAAGAAAGTAAGAAAGAATGAAAAGGGAAAAGAAATAGAGAAACTAGGAAAATAAAAATACGAAAAGAGAGACAAAAAATGAGACAAAAAAAGAAGAGAGACAAAGAAAGAGGGAAAGAAAAAAGAGAAAAAAGAAAAGAGAAGAAAAAGACAAAAAGAAGACAAGGAAAAAGAAAGGAGAGAAAAATGCTAAAAAAGAAAATAAGAAAAAAGACAAATAAGAAAGAAAAAAGGAAGAGAAAAAAAGGAGAAAAAAATTAAAGACAACAACAAAAAAAATTAGAAAAAGAAGATGAAAATGGAGAAAAAGTTCAAGGAGAAAAAAGTAAAATACAAAGAGAAATGGATAAAAAGAAAAAAAGGGAGAGAAAAAGAAAAGGAAATAAAGAAAGTAAGAAATAGGAAGAAAGAAAAGAAAGAAATCTGCAATTATTTGACTGAACTCATATTGTTATCCGACGAAAGATTCACCTTTTAAGTGCAACAAAAATTAATTTTATTTGCATAAATTTGAAAAAAATTCGATCAATAATTATCGATTGATTTGCTGTTTTTATTGCCATTTCCAAATGAAATCAATTTCGCTTCTATATCTTCTGTCAACTATTAATAGTCGGAGACAAAAAATGCAAAAAAAAAAAAACAATAAGAACTGAATTGAAAAAATTTTCAAAGAATGAATTTAAATAATAAATTTTATTTGCAAAGAAAAAAAATTTTTTTTCAAATAATTTTGAAAATTTTCAATAAATATTTTCCATCGTTTTTAAAATAAACAAACACTTTTTGTTGGGAAACAAAAATCTTCGGCCAATGTTCAGATTTTTTCGGAAATTTAAACAAAACTTTTTTCGGCAAAACAGAAAAAATTCTTGTTTCGTCGAAAAATAAAAATGAACAAATTTATTTGAACAAAAATCGAAAATTTTTTCATCCATTTCAACCTTTTGAAGAATATCTCCGTTTTGATTCCAGACAAAGATTTCCGACTCTGTTCGTCTTGACCCCCACAAATTCCCAGTCGTAGGATCGGTACGAAGGAGGGGGCCATAATTACTCTACCCCAGCGACCCCCCGAGGTGGATTGTTTTTATTTCTTCTCCATTTTCATTAAAAGTAAAACAAACAATTTTTGAAAATTCATTTCACAAGCAAAAATTTTTTTGTCAATTTGACACAAAGAAAAAAATTTCTTTTCTTTTGTGTCAATTGATTTTTGGATTTCTAAAAATGGCGGACATTTTTTTCGCTCCAAAAAGAAAATTCTTCCAGACCCCACAAAATCCTACAGGCCACAGACAATCAAAATGTCCTTTGAAAGGCGACACATGTCCCGGGGGTCGAATTCCTTTCCTCCGTTCGTTAAAGGACATTGGCCGACCAATTCTCCAGAGTCACTGAATTCTAGGATCGATCTTCGATCGATCGATCGATTTCCTATCGCCAACAAAGACGCGATTGTCTTCGTCGCCGGCAACCATTGATAAAATGTTCAGCGGGTTCGATCCTAGAAGACGACATCCACTTTTCCATCTGCAAATACCATTGGATGTCTCTAACAGAACTCGATCATTTCTTCCTTCAGTGACTCTTATTCTTGAAGACACCATTTCGAAATGTCAAGCCAACGTCCTTTTTATTGCTCTGGAGCAAAACGATTGGCGGAGCGACGCAGAAAGAAATGCTAATGTTTCAATCCGCAAAATTGAGTCCTATAGTCGTCGACGTTGTCCGTCAACAAATGTTCCAAGGTGTGGCGCCAGATCTTCACCTTTCCCAAAAATTTAATTCTCTTTAATTTCTAAGGGTGAGGCACCATTTTTTTTTTCAGTTTCGTCATCATTTCATACTATTTGACAGCTCTGCCAATAAGGGCCATGCCTCTTTCACGAAGGCCTCGAAATCCAGAGAGAGTTTTAAGCATTTGGATTCGCAATCCGTTGACATTTTGTCAATGGATCGTCTCGTTCGCTCGTTCGTCGCCCGGATGTGGATTTCGAACTGGAGGAGTTCCCATAAAGTGTGGGGCTACGGAAAATTTAACAACGCCTCCTTCCTAAAGACAGCGAACCATGCGGACACTTAAGGGGAGGCAGTCACGAGATCCAGCTAATTATGCTTTGGTCAGGCACGTTGCTATTATGGCAGAAGGCGTCCTTGGATTGGCGGTGCCGTCGATAGTCGTCCGTCGATCTGACCCCTTTCGCCTCCACCCTGACACGCTTGACAAGTCTTTGGTCTTTTATTAAATGTCTGGGGTTAATATCTCTCATATATATACTATTTCTTAATAGAGGAATCGCATTCCAGCACCAAATCTGGTAAGTCGATTCTGCCCCGTTCTCTTCAAAGCATCTGTAACACCTCCATTCTCTGATTCCCGCAGACGGCACCTCAAAGACTTCATATAAAAATGGTGCCAGTCTCAAATCGTCACCAGTCACAGGCTTTGGCTCTTTAATTTTAAAGATTTTCTTTGTTTTTAACTCCAAACAACCCGCAGAAAGAATGAAGACATTGTTTTGTCTTTTGATGACATGTCCAAGAACTGGTCGCATTTTTGCATTGAAATGTCTCTTCTTCATGAATTCATTGGACGCCATTTGAAAAATTCTCCCAAAGATAAAAATCAATTGAAAAGAAAGAAAAGAAAAAATTTAGGTCAAACGTCAAAATCAGAAAAAGACAAAAACAAAACAACAAAAAAAAAAAAAAAAAAAAAAAACAAAAAAAAAATGTCCATTTATAAACCGGACGTAAAATGATTTTTACCATCAATTTTTCAGATTTTTTTAGAAAAACAAATTTTTTTCCGGAAAGGAAATTGTTTTCTTCTAAAATCTCAAATTTATAACAAAAAAAGTTAAAGACAATTAGTAAAAAAATGAAAGAGAGATCTAACAGAAGTTATTAAATAATAAAAATTGTCATACGAGTTTAAGGCATTTTATTGGACGAAAATCAAACTGAAAGGATAGGACAATGCTACATAAGATAACAAGTAAACAGTAAGTAAGGGGAGGGAAATAAGGAAATAAAAAAAAAAAGAAACTTTTGAAATCATTTTTAAAACCACACAACAATAAGATTTCTGTATGAGAGACACACATACTGATCTTAAATATTATATAAATATATATATATATATATATATATATATTTAAAAAATTTCATTATATTTTCTTTTTATATATATATATATATATATATATATATATATATATATATATATATATAAAAAATATGGATGGCTTCTTTATATATTATTTATATATATATATTTTATATATATATTTTATATTTAGCCAGAAGAAACAAAATTTTTTGTAAATTAAGTTTTTTTCTTTATATGTATATATATAAAAAAAAAATTTAAATTAAAAAAATAATGTAACTTTACATTTTCTTTATTTATTTATTTATATATATAATTGATATTTCAATTTTTGAAGAAATTTATTGAGGTCAAACTGAAATGAAAAATATTATATATTCCAATACAAAACGTAATTTTTAAATAACAGCAAATTTTAAATTAATATTTTATATATATATATATATATATATATATATATATATATATATATATTAATGCATGTTTCATTAAATAATATAGACAAGTTTGTCTATTTATTTTAAGTAAATTCCTTTCATATTGTCTGATAAGCTTAATAACATTATCATTGAAAGACGAAAGGAAATCACCATATTGATACATGTTTTTAATCCAATCTAAGCTTTCGGCTTACATAAGCCATTATCAAAGATGACAATTACATTTCAATATATTAAACAATAAACGGACAAAAAAAATAATGATAGTCTGTTTTTTGTTGCATGAAAAATTTTAAAGCAACGACAAACTCGTATATACGAGACGCGGAAGCGAAAAATCGCACAAAGCTCGTGACGTGACACATGACCACGCGAGAGTGAAAACGAGAAGTATTAAATATGGGAAGCCGTTGGTATAAACCAATGGCTTCTGTCATCAATTATGGGCATTTAAGAATATTTGTGGAGATTTCATAGTTTATATTTATTCAGGT